CCCTCGGCCCTGCCCGGCCTCCCCCAGGACCCCTGCCCCCAGCCAGGCCCTCCTGGCCTGCAGGTGTCCCCCAGTGCCCCCTCCTCGGTGCCCCCCATGGCCATGGCGTCGCCCCCGGCGCCCCCAGCCAAGAAGCGGAAGATGAACTTCTCGGAGCGGGAGGTGGAGATCATCGTGGAGGAGCTGGAGCGAGGCAAGCACCTCCTTATCAACCACTTCAACGCGGGCGTGCCCCTGGCCGCCAAGGCCGCCGCCTGGCACGACATCCTGCGCCGCGTCAACGCCGTCGCCACCTGCCACCGCGAGCTGCCCGAGGTCAAGAAGAAATGGTCCGACCTCAAAACCGAGGTGCGACGCAAAGTGGCCCAAGTCCGGGCTGCCATGGAAGGGGGAGGCGAGAGCCAGAACAGCAATGGCAACGGGGCGGAGAGCGAAGACCCGACGGGTGCTGCGACCGCCCCGGTTATCCTCACCCCCATGCAGCAACGCATCTGCAACCTGCTGGGAGAAGCCACCATCATCAGTTTGCCGAGTGGGGACTGCAGTGCAGGTGACGGGACCGAGATACCCATCACCGCGTCAGCCACCACGGTCACCCTGACCCAGAGTGAGTGCTGCGCCTGCTGAAGATGCTCTGTGCTGAATTTTGAAGGTGGTGGGGGGGGGCCCTCACACCCACCTATGAGGAGCCCCTGATCCCTGTGCAGGGAAAGCCCCAGCAAAAAGAAACCCCCGTGTCTCTGTAATGAAAACGCCGTTCCCAGTACGTCCTTGTGCTGTGGGGGAGTGGCTGCAAGATACGCACATACTGAAAGTCAGCTTTGATGGCTGAGGTTGGCCTTAAGAACAAGGAAAGCAAGTATCCTTTGCATCTTGCATATTGTTCAGTCCCCCTCCCCGGGAACAAAAGCAGGGGGAGAAACGTCTCCAAGGTTGATTTCCCAGTCTGCCTCAAAGAGTGTCTGTCTGACAAGTGCCATTCTGGGCCTTGTCTTTGCCCTTGTGTCAGTTGGGTAATGCCGCTTGGAAAGACTGTTCTGAGCTGGAGGTTGAGAAATTATTTTGTCTAGACAGATAAGGCAACCCCTATCGCTTTGGACTGTACAGCCTAGACGGAAGCTCTAATGAGGGTGGAGTAGACTTAAATAGGTCATTTTGTGCATTGCTGTTCATTGTATGTTATCTCACTGAACAGGCAGTATTCCTGTGATAGTCATTGAATAGACCTGTAGATAAAAATCCATGTATCACAGCTACTTCTTACCCCCTTTCTGTCCTTTGTTCTCAGTTCCTGCAGAGACAACCTACCACAGTCTGGAGGATGGAGTCGTGGAGTACTGCACAACAGAAGCCCCCACCACAGTCACCGCCGAAGCACCCTTGGAGATGATGGCGCATCAACACGAAGTGTCTGCGAAACCCCAGGAGCTGAAAAGCCGGATTGCTCTGAACTCAGCCAAGCTCTTGCAGGAGCAGCGAGTGACCAACTTGCACGTGAAGGAGATTGCCCAGCACCTGGAGCAGCAGAATGACTTGCTTCAGATGATTCGTCGCTCCCAGGAGGTGCAGGCATGCGCCCAGGAGCGACAGGCACAAGCCATGGAAGGAACACAGGCGGCACTGAGTGCCCTCATCCAGGTCCTCCGCCCCATGATTAAGGACTTCCGTCGATTTTTGCAGAGCAATACACCCAGTCCGTCGGTCACCACTGACCCCAGCCAGACAGGGCAGCAAGATGGCATGATCCAGTGAAAGAGAAACAGTGATGGGACGTCTTTCTTGGAAAAAAACTGCCCATGCTGCAAGTGAACACAGGGAGCGAGGGGTGCTAGCTCTTGTCAATGTGAAATGGCTCACCTTGGAGTCTTGCTGAGCCTAAACAGCTTTCTTTCTCTGCTAATCTCATGCTAATCTGCCTTTTCAGACTTGTCATACAGAACCATAGCAGGCTGTGTAATAAACCAGGGACTTAACATTGGTTGCTTTAGTTCCTCAAACAATAGTTTTATTAAAAAAAAAGACAGTTATTTTTTTATTTCTGTTTGGAAAATACTCTCCTAAGTATGACACCTCTCTCTTTCTCTCTCTCTGTCAAGATCGATAGCCTTTAACTGACTTCTAATGTGGAGAGTGTTGTTGCGATATCGCAGTACTGCAGCTGCCAAGGTACAGTTATTATAAACGGTGGTGAATGCATTTCTGTCTCTTGCTGAAAGCATTTACTGGAAACGTGGTACCGGATGTGGTACAGCCTTTTCTCTGCACTGAGAGTTATGGATACTGCTCTTGCAGTGTGACATCCAGCCCATGCAGACCAGCACCAAGTCTACATACAGTTTAAATCCCACCCACGTTCCCCAAGGATATAAATGGGATTAAAATAGTGCATCCACCTCATGTTCTATCTGCATGCAGTCATGAAATTTCACTATATACTTGGCAGATGTGAGGAAAATTTCATGTCTTTGTTACCAGATACTGTCCTGGGATATGTATGGGAAGCAACGTACTGCCTGTCTCAACATAGTTAATACACAAGGGCCTGGATGAGTTTCATTCAGGTGTAACAGGTGAAACTCCATCTCTGTCTCATCTGCATAGTTTGTCACCACCACAATACCTTCATCCATCAAAGTGGACCTGGACTACGGAGCTTCAGCCACGCAGTAATTCCCAACTTTGTGGTCTACTTTGAGGAGTTTGTTAGCCACTGATTTAATTGAGTCAATTTTGGAGCATTATTTGGTTCTGCTGGTGGCAGTGGTATTTGTTCTGTACTTCTTAGGAGCTGGAAGTGACGAGTACAGCTGTTCTTTGTTAGTCTGCTAGCTGGCTTCGAGTGGCATTCTGAGAAAAGGGTCTGAAGTTCACCTCGCTATTTTCTTACCATTATACAGGGTAAAACAACATTGCAGCCACTTTTCTTTGAGGTGTTCAGGCTGTGGGGCTTGGTCCTCAGTGAGAAAGCTGCATTTCACGGGATGGTGAATGTGATTCTTACAGACTTGCAGTACCTTCATAAACGTTTAGATGAAAAGCTCCACTTGTACATGTATGGAAGCAAACTTCAAAAAAAAAAAAAAAAAGAAGGAAGCGTAACAACTTCTCCCCATGCCTTGCAAAGTGTTTCACATTTAACAGGCCTGTTGCTTGCCAGATACCGTTTTGAAACGGAACTTTTTCACAGCTGGTATTCGCGTGCTGTTAAGTCTCCTTTAGGGCTGAGAAGTGATGAGCAACGACTGATGAGGGAGTGAATTTGCACAATCAAATTAAACCTTTATACACAGCCTTTTACGGGAGGATGCTGGTGGGGGACCTCTGCTTAGAGCAGTGGGTAAAGCAGCCACCATTGCCCGTGTCTGGCCTTTACTCATCTCCTCTTGTCTGCAAGTCTGACAGGGGAGAAAAGGACAGCATGGTGAGAAGGGTTCAGCCCCTGGAAGGCTCCTGACCCTTTGGCACTGACATCTCTGTGCTGAGTCACGGCAGCATCAGCTGCATCTTCCCGCCTTTGTCCAGCATCTCACCGCGTGAGTAACACTCGCCTGACTCTTCCTCTCAGACTTCTTGGAATCAAATCAATTGCTCAATTGAAATTTATTTTTAAAGTGAAAACTATGTCATATGTATTGGTTTACCTCATTTGTGTAATGATATCTCCTTTACAAATATGAATTTTAATAAAAAAAATGTTTTGGGTAAACAGGCTGTTTCAGTTCGTTGGCACGTTCCTGGGCAAAAGTGAGTTCATGCCCTGAGAAAGGGCCAAAGAAAGCTGTGAACAGCCATGTGCCGTGGTAGCTTTTTCTCCTGTTTGTGAGCTTTGTGGCCTTGTATTTACATAATTATGGTCTTTTTTTTTTTTTTCAAATAACAGCTTTTACAGTCTTACCTTGGAGCACTAGTTATTCCACTGTGTGTGACAGATTACCAAAGTACACTAATTTCCCAACTGCTCAGAAGATGCCACAATGGCCTAAAATGATGGATGAAGTACCATCGGCTTTACACGGTCATATACAATACAATACAATACATACAATACAACCACGGCTTTAAATTGCAGTGTGCATTTTTTCAGTGACTAAGCACTTAAGCTGTTACTCTTTCATAGGAGTAAACGTGTTGCCCTTGGAACCACCTATTTTTCTTGTCTTTTCAGGATAAATATAGCGCTTAGTCAAGCCGGCAGCATTCAGGTTCAAGTTCCGCGTACACATTTTTGTCTCATTAAAAAGATGTAGCAACATTTTAAATACAGGGTGAGCATTGTGATGAGGGGCTTGGTTGTTGCTCACGACGAGGTCATCAAACTTGGGAAGGGAGAGAGAAAAGTGTCCCTTAAAGTCAAAACTAAGAGGAAGAGCTAAGCAGGGAACTTACAGGGTGAACATATACGCAGGGTATTCAAATGAACAGGGAACTGGTACCCAAACAGAACAAAGCTGAGGAGTAACATCAATAGATGTTCATTTGTGCTCCTCTACTGTTCTTTTTATACCTCGAGATTTGTATTCAGCGTCCAGAGTGGGAAAGAGCCGCACGGGGATGTTCTGCCGCAGGGTGGTGAGGTGAGGGCAAGCAGCCGGGCGGCGAGTGGCGTTCTTCATAGATATGTTTGGTTGGGGACACTTGGTGGGTCAGAAGATGAATTTTGCAGCAATTAGAGGCAGCAGCCAAGCTGCCTGCAGCACCGCTAGCTGCTTCAGAAGCAAAACTCTGGATGTGATGTGTGCAGCTCAGGCACGGTTTTCCAGGAGATGGCACTGCACAACGGTGCAAGGCGCAGGGCTCCCGCGCTGCAGCCAAGTACTGCCCAGAGTCTGGCACTGGCAGACCGAGAAATGACCCTTGTCGTCCAGACCTTGTGTGATCCTGCTTGTTCCTCTCACTGATGAATCTTTTTAGGACTGAGAGCCCGGAAAGGAAGAAATTCAATCAGCAGAGCTCAGGGATGAGGAACGCCTGTAGCCCCAGAAAAGTCCGGATGCTTGGGAACACAAACCGGGTCCCTCTGCTTCCCGCAAACACAGGCAGAGGACACTGAGATGTCAGGGGCTCACAGCTCTCTTTGGGGTAAGTTCACTGCAGAACCAAACAGGCAGGCATAAAATAAATTAAAAAAAAAATAAGAGAAACACACCACATAAATTCTTAAAGTGTAGGCAAAGGGACAGGTTTTCAGATTTTTAGCAGACACATAAATATGTCAGTATCCCACGAGTACTGTGCGCTGCCATAGCTACATCGCAGTTCTGGGAGCAGATCCTCGCTGAGGGACAGAATGATATCATCTGCATACTCACTTAAATTACCTTTACCTCCTCCAGCATGTTTTTAAAGTTTGTCAAGCCTGTTTTGACAAAGCACTCTTCTGGGGTTTTGTGTGGTTTTTTCTTGTTGGCATCCGAGAGGATATTGCCAGCAGGTACTGTCAGCACAAGTGTGGCCTGTTCAATATGAAAATTGAAGCATTTAAGATGCTTTGTCTTTCTTGAAAGCATCTCAGAAGAAGCTTCACACAAATGATCAGCAGAGTTTCCAGGCTGCATTTCACCAGCAGGAACGAAGCTCACATCACCCGTAAACTGGGTTCACCAGCCCTTGGGTCCCAGCCCCATAAGGTGACGAACCCAAGGCAGAAGCCCAGCCCCAGCAGGGACAGCTTCTGTTACTTCCACCGCCTGGGATCCCAAATTAGAGGTTGCTGTGTCAAGTGGGAACCACAGAGTTGCAGTTGTTTCTACTGTGTTTGGGGTCACAGTGGCATTTGTGGGACTGCAGCCAGAAGCACAGAACCAGTGGGAGAGCCCACGGACAGCAAGTCTCTTGTCCGGCAGAGCGCTGAAGGCGACACGGGGGATACAGACACAGGATAATGCTTAATAAACACAACAAGCCTCGAGGCAAAGCGGATTCCAGCCTGCAGATTTGGGAAGGGGCAAACCAGCTCTCGTTCTGATAGGCCTCCCAGAAAGAAGTGGAGAGTCCTGCTGCACATTCCCAGGACACACTGGAGCAGATATGGAAACCAGTAAACAAAAAAAGCCAGGCAGCTGGATTTTCAGGTCTGGCCACATGTTTGGGGAAAGGAATCCACCGATTCCAGATTCCTGTGCTCCCTTTTTCTCTGTGGATAACAGGATCCCTCGTCCTGGCAGGCCAGAAACCCACCGGCAGGTGTGTCCTTTGCACATCCAACAGGAAACCCAGCCTGGCACAGAAAGTGAAACAGTTCTGGCCCTTTATGATGATGAGTTCAGTTAAATATGGAACTAGTGAAAAACACAAGCAGATCAAAGTCGAGCTTGCAGCCTGTTATTAAATGAAGCTGAGAAGACGCAAGCTTGGAATAACTCCACACCGTAAGATAATCCTACGTAATGGGGATAGGTACCCATTCCCCTCACTGGGTTTCCAGCAGGGGCTCACGCTGCTGCTGTGTCCTGCCCCAGGGGAGCTGCACCCCCTGCCCCATTTTGGGAGCTCCCCAGCCTGGGTCTGCCCCCCGAGGTCCAGGGAAGGCACCCACCACAGTGCCCAGCCCGCAGGTCCCGTGCAGCCCCTCGGAGCGGGTGCATCGCAGGTGCTTGGCCACCAGCAGCACAAAGAACACCTTTATAGCATAAAGCATGGTGTGATCATCTTTTCTTTTTGGATGACGAGGCTCAAAGCTCATTAAAGCTATTATAACAGAGGTTACAGATGTAACAGGAGAGCCATTACTGTGTTTACGCTGTTGCAGCAACGTGTATAATTTAGTTTTCAAACTTTAATTATTTGGCTGGTAGGACAAATGGATTAGTGTGATGATGTTTTCCAGAGGAAGACGCTGATGATGTAGTTTACAGGGCTTGATGATTTGCTCGTGTATCTGGGATTCCCCTGGGATAAGAGAGAGGATTTGATGTCTCACCAAACACATTACAGAATCTATCTCGCTTCACCTTGCTGAGTTCTGTCCCTTCTGAATTTATCTTGCCTTCTTTCTTCCCTGCTGCTTCCTCTCAGTCCT